CATCCATTTTCCTAAACAGTTCTAATGATCTGTGCACATGCTCCAGGTATAAGATTGCTCTAAACATATTCACTGTGGATTAAACTAATGCAACCTCCTTCAAAACCAGGTTGGCTAAGGATATGAAGTTATGAACCTCAACTGATGAATAGGAACTCTTACAGTAACCCAGTGCAACTCAGTCACATCTATAGTCTCAGGCTTTCCACTACAAAGCTATCATTTCAAATTTCAAACCCAAGTTGAAAGGCATTCCCAAGCAATAAGATGAGCTGGCCATGAAGCATTGCCCATTTGATCCTTATCTCTCGGGTGTGTGGTAAGGTGGATCAAAAAGTTCAATTGCTAATGCAGAACAAAACTTAAAGGGTTGGTGATTATGAAATTTCTACTGAAGTGACAGCTGTTCATATTTATAGCCTATCACAGAATCACAGAATGGCCTAGGTTGGAAGGGACCTCAAGGATCATGAATCTCCAACCCCCTCCCATCATAGGCAGGGCCACCAAAACCTACGTGAATGAAAAGAGGGCTTAGGTCTGGTTTTCCACAAGCAAACATCCTCATTGTTCAAATCAGGCCTCTATCTCTTTTTGTGCCCACCTAAGAAGTAAGGACCAGGAAAATGGTAGCCATGGAGGGAAGAGGGTCTTCACTATGGCTCTACTCCATTGGGTCAGAGCTCCGGAGCAGTGCAACAGACAGGATTTCCAAAGATTGTGCCATACCTTCTATGCTGGCACAACAGCTCTTCTGTGACATTTTGAACTTGATGAATCTCACTAGGGGAAAAAAAAAAAAAAGGGGGGGGGGGGGAGAAGGGGAAACAAAGAAGAAAAAAGAAAGCAAGGTGCAGGGAAAGATTCTGCAGTCAGATCGAGAGTGACAAACACTAATTCTCAGCTGAAGTATACACCTGAAAAACTCACCCAAAACTCTTCCTAAAAGGGGAAATTTCAGGTCTTGCAGGGTATGACTCCCTAAGGCCTGACAAAGCCACTTATAACCTCACCAAAGTTCAGTATGACCATAAGTGTTTACATGTATAAAGACTAGGCCAAATCAAGAATGTAAATATTTGGATTCAGTTCCCCAAACTTGCCTCCATCTGCACTGCCAACTAAATCTCAACTGCAGACCAAAAAATCTGAAAAGCAGCAGTTGTTCATAGACAGCAAAATGACACACATGGCATTCAACATTAAAGGAGGGGAAACAAACAAGCAAACAACTTGCAATCTGAATTGAACCCATGTTAAACAAGAAATCGGTGAAGTCTGCACTGAAATCTGATTTGACTCAGCTATCATTTGGCACATTTTGAAAGTTGAACAGTGCAGATTTTGGTCCACTACCCTACCCTGGAAGAGACCACTTAACCCTGTCTAGGTTGCTCAAAACACACTATACATGACACAAAGGGTCTAGAACACATAGAAACTTTGACATAAACCACACTCTCTTAAACCATAAAAAGCAAATGCTTCTGTTTTCCGGGCAGAGGAGCTCATCCAAAATAATCTGTGTGGCAACCACAGTCCTATACTCAGAATTGACTGAGGATCCCAAATTGACTCGAGTTCTCAAGCATCCGTACTTTTTGTAACCCCAGCTCATTTAGCTGTAGGTGAAGATGGTAGCCAGGAATGCATTCAAGAGAGTTGTGACACATCCTGAGGGTTAATACACAGTACCCTCAGCTGCCAGTTCCCAGACCTCCTCAGAAAGCCTTTCAGTCCCACACCTCCACCACAGACATCGGTTGAAAAAAGCAGAAAGCTAAGCATTTCCCCAAGACCAAGGAATCTTTTTATATGTGTACAAAGTAAGAATCCAAGCCTCCTCACTCCCACTACTGTAAACTAACAAGAAGTCCATCCTCCCTGTTTATCTAAGTGGGAAAAGCACAAATCTGGTTCTTCAGCTCTACTGAGCTGTGGGAAACTCGGTTTTGCTCACCAGCTGAAAGCAGGCTCTTCAGCACACTTAGCAGTGACCTCTTCACAAGGGGCAAGTACCATTCCTTTAAATGCCCCTACACTAAAAATAGTTGTGCTTCCTAAACATGAATGTTTAACAGTTCCAGGCATTCTGAAATCCTGCATACCACTTCTTTTTTTTCTTTTTTTTTTTTTTCTTTTAAACTGGCAACATTTATTTAACCAGCAATTAAAAAAAGGAGGCCCAGCCGCCCCAGTGATTCTTCCCAGAGGGTCTTAGATGTTTATGAAACACAATGAAAACAATAAACTGGATAAAATCATGCTATTCCATCAAGTCCTTGGCAAGACTTCCCAACAGAGAATAAACTGGCATGGTACATTACAGTCAACAGATTACACAATGGCTTGCAGGGTCACAAATAATGAAGGGTCACATGCTCCTCTAAAGTGCTACAGTATATGTTAAAAGTCAGTTGATTACAGGGAAATCATGAGAGTCAGTTCTGAGCTCCTTGGAGCAAGTCCTGGAAGCAACAGCACAAAAATGCAGGCTAAGAAAGGTCAGGAGGTACTTCTTCACAGCACTAGGAAACACAGTGACTATGCTGAGCAAGCTGGCTTTGGAAGTTTAACATTCTAAACCAAAGCAGGCAGGATTCCCACATTTCTGCATACAAGAAACAAATGTGGAAGGTTGACAGCGTCTGGTCCCTAGCGAAGCCCAGCACCACTCACCCCACCACACACATCCAGGGAGCTCTGCTCACACTCCTCTGTTCTCCAAGAGGAACCAGTCCCATCTCAAGAGGAGAACTGCAGCTCCACTCACTCTTAAGAGTACACAGGCTGCAAGCAGTTTCAAAAGAAGCTTTTGATATTATACTCTTGGGTAATTTGCTAAAAGTAATCGTGATTGCTTCAATGTGTTGCTTTTCCTTTAAATAACTGGTGTTAAAGCAAGAAGGAAATTAATGGCCAAAGATATGAATCTTATCTTCATCCTTCAGACTGGCAAGAGATTTGCATTATGCCACCTGTACAAACTGATCGTGAACATGAATGTTGTATTTTGACATTTCTGAACCATCCATGATTTTCTCAAATCTGGTCTTAAACATAAGACGCTTCTACTCCATTATGCTTTCACTATATGGATTTTTTCATCTACTGAGTATAAACCATGAATAAACAAAACATTGCTGATTCTTGAAGGCAAGTCAGTCTCACTTCAGTTCACCCTGCTCTGACTCTGCATTACCAGCAATGAGACTACAGCTAACACTTTTGTTCTTTGTTTGCCACAAGTTTTGATCATTCTAGGTGGCCCTTACTGGAACACTCTTTATCTGGCTGAACTTAAAGACTGGTTACACGCAATGAACTGAAAGAAAATCTATTATCCAAAGTCAGCACAATGCTAAAACAAGGGGGATAACAAACATTGCTATGGACCTATTCCATGCTATTACAGAATGCATCCGGCTTCATTTGGCTCACTGTTATGACTGAAAATACACTGGAGCGATAAAAATGAAGTAAACATAAGAGGCTCTCTCATATGCAGCCACTACTCTTTGATTGCAGTGACCCCTTGCTCTTCGGTAAAGCAAATGTTTGGTAGCAAGCCAAGAGCACTACATCTCATTTTCCCACCAAGTGAACTGCTGAAGCAGCTCCCTTGGCTCTTCAGCTGCATCTGCCTTGGGATCCTAAAGTCTTCCGATGGAGTCCAGGTGGCTCTGACTCTTTTCAACGAGCGTGCAAACATTACAGCCAGCCGGACGGCCGACGCGAGCAGGCACTAGGGGAGAAGCATCGGGCTCCCCTTCTCTACTCACTCCCGAGCCCCAGACCCGGAGAGCTGCTTCGCCGGCCCTCTCTGTCAGCTCGATCCCACCGCCGTGAGAGGACCCGGCCCCGGGGCACGACGGTGCAGAGCTCAGGCTGCTCCCGGAGCCCAAGCCGGTCCGCCGCGTATCCCGGCCCGCCCCGCAACGGGAGGCGGGCGGCCGTCGGCGCGCCGAGCTCGGCGCCGGGCGGCGGCTTCTCCCCCCGCCCCGCTCCCCTGCCCGCGGCTCCGTGGGACCCGTCCGAGCCGGCGGCGCGGCTCCCGGCTCTTACCGAGGCGCGCAGGGGAAAGCTCCCGACGCCCGCAATCCTCGCTCCGCAGCACGGGCTGTTGTAGCTTTTTTGGAGGAGCCGAGAAGAGGGAAAGAAGGGGAGGGGGCAGGGAGGAAGGGAAGGAGGAGGGAAGGGATTGAGATCGAGGGAGAGAGAAGTATGCGAAGGCAGGAAGTGGGGACGGCCACGGCCAGTGCGGGAGATTAATGGGAAGCAGCCGGCCGGCCGCCAACAAAGAGCCCCGGCGCGGGGCTGCGGGGCTGCGGCAGGGAGCCGCGTCCAAAGCGGGCGGGAGGCAGCGGAGCGAAGCGGCGCTGAGGGGAGGCACGGCGGGCAGCGGGAGGAGGGGAGAGCCGGGAGCCCGCGGGACGGCCTTGCCTGAGGAGAGCGCCGGTTTTGTCTTTCAGACACTGACAGCGCTCGGGCTCTCTCCTAGAAGGACGGGGGAAGGAAAGCTCCTGCCGGGCCCGGCAGCCCACGTGCTTCCAACGCGCGCCCTGCACGGCGGGCTGCACGCACGCAGAGATGAGTGTGCACAGTGTTCGGGAGCAGCGCTTCAGCGCTAAGCACGTGCTCACTGTCCCCTTGGGCCGATCAGCCTTCCCGCACCCCGAGCCGCCGCACGCAACGAAGATAACTCTGCTGACCCGCCGCCCCCACCACAACGAGGAAACCTGGTGCGAGCGCCCCGCGTTTCGCAAGCCGCCATTCTATTTCAAGAGACTGAGCACGAGGGGAGCTCATCCGGCTCCTCGTGCGAAGGTGCGGTTCCAAGCACGATAAGCACGATCTGCCCACGCCGCCGGCTGCGGACGCGTTTATCTCAGCCGGGAGCTGCGTTTGAACCTCCCGCTCCGGCCTCTCCGCCGAGCGGGGCGGTGCGCCCCCTCGCGGCGTTAGGGCGGAACGATGGACTGCGGCGCATGCGCACACTGTGACGGCGCGCGGCGGCGGCGGCGGGATGGACGGGGCGCGCGCGGGGCGTACGGCGGGGTTGGCGCGCGCCGTGCTGGAGCGGGCGCGGCGGCGGCGGGAGCGGGAGCGCGCGGCCTCGGCCCCGGTCAGTGCTGCGGGTGGGGCGGGGCGGGGAGCGCAGCCACCTCAGTCACCGCGTTCTGTCGCGCGGCCGCACCGCGCTTCGTTAAGCGTGCGCTTAATGGCAGGAGGAAGACTCGGAGCGGCTCAGCGCTGCGTTCGCTTCCGTCATGAGTTTCATGGCCCAAGCCACGCGGGAATGCGAGGTAAAAGCCCTGCGGCTCAGCCGGCGGCACCGCGGTAACACCGAAGGCGAGCGAGACGGCGTTGGTATTGGGGAGCCGTTGCGCCTTCCGATCAGAGCGGTGCGGGGCGCTCCGTGTGCCGGCAGGTGGCAGCACCGCGCGGCAGGGCGGCAGCGGGAACCTGATTGTGATGCCTCTTATGTAACGCTTTGTGTTCCCACCGTTGTCCAGAAGTACTACAGCCTTGTGCCGGCCTGCAGGTGCGGAGAGCACGAAGTGAGACACATCTGCAGGTATCACGGCCGGCAAGCGGGAGAGGAAGAGCTGCAGTCCGCCGAAGACAAGGTGAGGAGGGTTTGGTGTCCTTGGGAAGGTTGTTCCTTCCATCAGCGTGGGACAGCTGCGGTGTCTGTGGCACCGGTTTGCCACGCGTTTGTGTGTTTGACAGCAGAGGCAGGTGAAGACTTGGACTGGTCTGAGCCTTTGGTTGGGCAGGGCCATTGCTGGCGGCAACAGCCACAGCATGGTTTCAGTCCTGTCGCAGAGGGGAAATTGAAATGGACTCAGAGCATCCCCTCTCTGATGGCCTGAATTTACCTTTGTGTGGTTATAATCAGAAAACTATCCTTTTCTTTCCAGAAAAGTGCAGCTTCTGCAGCGTCCAGTCAAGCTAGAACTTGCCAGCAACGTGTAAGTCTACAGCATAATTTGTTTTCAAATGTACGTGGAGATCTTGTGACAGCACAGATCAATGAATGGTGTGTTCACCATCCCACAGTATAGATGGTGAGTAGAACAGGCAGAGACTGACACAATTAATTATAGAATCATAGAATCACCAAGATTGGAAAAGACCTCCAAGATCGTCCAGTCCAACCATCCACCTACTACCAATATTTCCCCACTGAACCATGTCCCTCAGTACAACATCTGAACATCTCTTGAGCATCTCCAGGGATGGTGACTCCACCACCTCCCTGGGCAGCACATTCCAGTGCCTGACCACTCTTTCTGAGAAGAAATTGTAAACCAGACCCCGGTCATCCAGTGCAGAACTAGTCAAGAGTCTCCCATATTTCGGGCTGATACAGACTGTCAAAACATTGTGAATGATCCGTGGACTGCTGTGATTTGCACCAGCAGCAATAATCCATCAGTCCTCTGCTCTTGCCTCATTTGTGCTCCTGCCACATTCCCTGTGCTGAACAAAGCACGCAGCAGCTGCTCGGCCAGTTATGCTTGGCCCTGACACAGTCCTCTCTGAAGACTGCTGTTCCTCCAGGAAAAGAAAACTTAATTGTTTTTTAAAGCCAAACACCTCACCAAATCAATTTCAGGAATTTCTAAGCCACAAAAGATGAGAACCATGGAAACTGTGCCATAGTATGAATTGATGAGATTAACTGGATGTATGGATGACTTCCTTTGTTATGTTCAAAACAGTTTAAGGTGGCAGCTTTCAGTTTTGCAAGTAGAGATTACAGCCTGTTAATTATTTCCATGGATTAAATCATTAAATACTTTGAACGTGACACTTGTGAATATAAACACTTTACAGTTCTGTCTCTATATTGCCCATATATTCTGAACAAAAGATAGAACATTTAGATAGCAGTTTAAATGACTTTTTTTTAAATTCAGATTCCAACATTATCTTTTTGTGGGAAATTTAACACGACTAAATAGTAAAGAAATCTATTTATTCCCCCTTCTCTGTCCCCTAAAGACCAAGAAAGCTTCCAAAGACATCTACATCGAAGTCTCTCCTGGCATTTATTCTATCACAGCAACCTCTGAGGACATGGTGAAACAAACCCACGTGGTGGATGTCAGTGCTGGACAAAGCATTGATTTGACTTTTGTGCTATGACATTTATCGTTTGCTGGCAATCATGGGAATAAAATACTAGGATTTTTTAAAGCATATAATGAATCGTGTGTAACTATTTCTTATTAGCATTTTAATACAATCCTCTTCTTTGGGAGTCCATTTTTATGGCCTGTATATTTATTTGCTAACTTAGTGCAATTGTGTGCAACCCACTTTGTACACTGATTTTATAAATGTTTGTACATTGTGTCTCTTAATTCAAATCATGCGACTATGTAATTCCAGGTTCTTAAGCTTGAAACAATTAAAGATACAATCAGTGGAATAAATACATAGTTTGGTCTTTGTGATGCCTGCTTCTTTTGTATTACCCTCAGGCAGAAAGTCCATGTCATGTTCTTACCCATAGAGAACGAGATCCCAGTGGTGTGAATGCAGACACATACACCATCTCTGGCACTAGTTCTAGAGCAGCTGACCATCCGTTTCAAGTACATTTCCCTTGTCCACATTTTTATAATTCTGATAAAGAAACAAAATGCCATTTGGGGTGCATTTTTTAATGGTCAGCATGGATGATCTTTCCCACTCTACTCTGCCCTGGTGAGGCCACAGCTGGGCTCCCCAGTTCAAGAAAGGCAGGGATCTCCTAGAGAGAGTCCAGCGCAGGGCCACAAAGATGATGGGGGGCCTGGAGCATCTCCTGTGTGAGGAAAGGCTGAGAGACCCGGGGCTGTTCAGCCTGGAGGGGAGAAGACTGAAAGAGGATCTTACCAATGCTTACAAGCATCTGCAGCACAGGAATAAAGAGGGTGGGACCTGGCTCCCTTCAGTGGTGCCCAGCAATGGGCACAAACTGGCACACAGAAGTTCCATCTGAACATGAGGAAAAACTGCTTTACCGTGAGGGTGACAGAGCACTGGAACAGGCTGCCCAGAGGTTGTGAAATCTCCTTCTATGGAGATACTCTAAACTACAGACAAACTTCAAATCCTGTCTCTGCAGGCTCTTAACTAGGCTTAGAATCACCTAGCTACCTTTTTCAATAGAACACAGTTAATATTAGTGACATGCTCTATATAGTCTGCAATACTGTTGTAGCTGATGGCATTAAGGTTTCAGTTAATGTTGAGGGGAATATAAAATTCAATGGCTTGAACACTGCACACAGAACTGTGTTAAGCTATATATTCCTTATTCTCTGGTTTGCTTTAATACTGAAAAAAATAATAATAATAAAAATTGGGGTTGTCAGGTTGTATAATTTCTCTGTTTCTTCTGGTTTCCCACAGAGAAATTGGTGAGCTGAATTCCTCTGGCTAGCACCAGAGGACAGCAGATAAATTGGAGGTTTATTAGATCCTTGCTTTGCATCTGCTCAGGCTTTCAGCACTAATACTAGTTTATCTGATCTCTTCAGAAATGTAAAGAGCTCACACCCAAATAATTCAATTTAACAGCAGACTAACCATAGAGTAAAGAATGAGGATGCTGAAATGTTACCAGGTTGGAAATCACGTCTCAGTCATTAAAACGGTACAGTTATCCATAAAGCTCTCCTATGAAGTGCCTACATCAGAACTTCATTTGCTTAATAAATGTAATATTGCTAATAGTACAAGCAGTTTACCTGAAATTTCAGCTCTTGAACTTCATCAGCTGTAGAGTTACTGAATTCTGATGGATCACATCTCTCCCTGCTTTAGCATGAGCTCTGCTGTTCTTTCCCTCTCTGTTCTCTGCTGTTACGGTCTGTACTGCCAAGTTTGTCCTCTCCTAAGCAAATTGTTTTATGTTTATTGTCCAACTCTGTTTTCTTTCTTGTATGTCTATATCTTTGCTTTCATGATGCTACAGAACCTTCCTCCTGGAAGACAGGATAAAAATCCATTGGCAGTCCATGAATGCTCTGTGTTACCACATGTATCCACTGCTACGATTCATGCTGCTGGTTTTGAGCTAGAATGAGGCTCCTCTGGTTTCTTTCTAGTTTTACCAAAAGGCAAAGCACGTCAGCAGTGTATGGATATGACACTTGGCTAACACAGAGCACACCTGTCTAGAGTTGCATATTGGCATAAAAATTTTGTATAAGCTGTCTTTTCTTGGGTTTTATTTACACTGAAGGCCAGAGATGACTGGTCTCTATTTCTGCAGGACTTAATTGGGTCAATGTCAGTGGACAAGTGGCTAGTTTCTGAGTGTAGAGTCTCTACTGATTGCTCACACTGTTTGCTGGCATAACCTTTTCCATTCCAACAAGGAGCTTCAGGCCCTCCTCACTTTTATTTTAGTTAATAATTTTTTTTTAGATTAGTGGAAAAGTCCCCTCCATATCATAAAATTGGTGGAAGGCCATAGCAGGCAATTACTATAGAAATGCCAATTTCTGAACTAATAACATGAATACTTGTTCCATTCAAACAGACCGGATCATGTCAGTAAATACAAATTACAATATTAATACAAATTACCCCTGATGACAGCTTGAAATCCTGGTATTTCACTATTTCACTCATTGTGAATTGCCTTCTGGGAGGCTGCTCAGTAGTTTCCAACACTGCACTCTGCTCAGGTGGTGCAACATGGGACATGCCTACAACAGAGTTGGCTTTGGATTCTAACTTGCCCTTTGCACATATGCTGCTGTGTCTGCCAGTTCCTTGGGGGAAAAAATTGTATCTTAGCCTTAAGCATAGGGAAATCAGAATTGAAACAGATGCGTTCACTTAAGAGAGAAAAATGTACTTTAAACACTCTAAGGAATTCTTTTGGGTGATTGATTCTGCTTAGACTAGCTATGAAGGTTAATAAAGATGCTGGCATCATTAAATGCACAGAAAATTATGAGTAAGAAACTCAGCAAGGGGCACTTGCCTCCACATGAGATTCTAATAGTTTTCCACTGGATGAGTTGCCAGAAGAAGAGTTAGCATGCAAGACGAGGGGGCAGAAATGCTGGGGAGGAGGAAATAAAGCATTGGCAGCTGACAGGCAAATGTATGGTATTTATATCAACTACAGGTAAAGTGAGAGCCCATATGAAGGGGGGCACAGAACATGCTGGCTATTTCCCTCTGGCTGCTCCTTCCTTTTTAGGGTGTTTCAAGGTACCTGAATTACTGGCATGAGACTTGTAGTGGTTCCCTTTCCAGTATTTCCACTTGGGTCCTGCAGATTCCTCCAGCCTGGGCTTCTCAGGATGACTGGGGTCTGTTTTAACAGTACCGTCCACTACAGCACTCTGAGTGGGGAACACCTCTAGATCACCTACTGAGTCAGAAGGGGAATGTGCTGCCAAAGCTGCTAGCTCCTCTTGTTTTGGACCTTCCACTTCTAGAAGGTGTGCAGAGGATTTGCTGCTGGGCTCTGCCTCTTCAGCTTCTCTCTGAAAGACCTGAGACTTGGGTGGAAGAGGCCGCCAAACATCAAAGCGGCCATGGCAGCAGCAGAAGGAGTGGACACAGGCTGATGAACAGCACATACCACCACAACAACAGTGGAGAAGTGGCCAGCAGGGTGAGCAGAGCAAGCTGTGCTTAGCGTTTCTACATGCAATACAAACAGGAACCCAGGTGGTTTTAGGACTGCAGGAAAAAATGCACAAGTTAGTGTCAGGACTTTCTCTGCTCTTTAACCTGCTGGAGAAAGGCATGTGGATCATCTCCACAATCCTCCCACAAAGGCTAGGAGGGATCCACAGTGCTACACCTCGTGGCAGGTTCACTTTCTTGTCATTCCAGAACTGAACCATAATTTCTTCATCTTCTGAGGCTGTTGGGAGAAAAGGCATGCAGCTGTGAGTAGCCATTCTGCTTAGGGAGCACATACAGCTCAGGCTCTGCAGCTTGGGACACGCTTTCTAGTCCTGCCAGATGCAGCATCAGTGATCACCTCTCACTGTGACACCTGGCAGCATCTTTCTTCCCAGTTTTTCATCAGGTGAACAAGTCAATGTTCGCTGAGTTTTGTTGTTCCTGCCAAAGCTAGCAGTAACACTCAGGGAGCACGCTACCCATATTTGAGCAGTCAGCAGAGCCTGTCAGACACAGGAAAATGAATGAGCCACTGAAATACCACGCTTGGGTGATAAGGTCACCCCCAGGATGCATCCTTCAGTAAAAGCATGAGCACTCTAGCACAGACGGATGCTTCCTGAGAGCTGCCACATTTGGATCTACCAGGAAAAGGCCATTGTCCTTCACGCAACAGACACAGCCCCACCTGAGCATACAGGAAATTGCAGATCCGTGGATATGGAAGGTGACGTTTTTGTGGGTCACAGCTTCCTTAGGGTCAGACAGGCAAGGTTACAACCTGATATGCATCTAAGGTCATATCATTCACATCAGCTCCTGGAAGCTTTAAGTAATGCTACAGTGAGTTCACCGACAGCTCTCTGGCAATAGCACAACAGAGTTCATCCCAAAAGTCTCACTTGTGTTCCCAAGCAAGGCAAGAAAGACAAGGGCAGCATCCTTCTTACCTCGTAAAGGGTCCCTTGTCTCAATGCCCGTGAGGACTGTTCCAGGGCCATACCTCACCAAATCTGGTTCCCAAGGTGCCAATACTTTGTCTCCTGGCAGCAAGGAATGCTTCATGCCATTGGCATACTCCAGGATGTCATCCTTTGCTGTTTTTTGCACATGTACCGAATGCCTTCCATGCAACTGAAGTGGTCTGGTAAACTCTACCAGGAACATTCCCCTTTCATTCTGTTACCAAGAGAAAAACAGTACCTCTGAAAAACACATAGTTATGCATCAAGTCACATAATCACTAGGTACAGTCCCACTGGCACAAGGCACACTGCATGCACCAGACACATTAAAGCTGTTCTTTAGGCATGCCCAAGTCCTTCCTCATTATACAACATGAACTCACTGCTGGGGAGCTGCTGCAATTTTTTATTTTCTTGTAAGCTAAGGCTTGTCGAGAGGCTTTCAATCAACACTGAAACAAGACACTTCCCTGTTCTTGAGAAAGAATAGACTCTTTTTCCCCCTGAAGTTTGAAGTGCTAACAAACTGACGAATTACAGCTTTCACTAACATTTCTGAAGACACTGTGCCATTGGTCTGCAGCTGACTCATGCTGGCAGTGTGTACATAACACACCACCAAACACTTTTCCTGCGCTGGTGGCTATGTGTCTATACACAACAGTGGCCAGCACACTGTTCACAACAGCTCTGATGCCATCCAGGCCTGGCACGATGCCGAGCACCAGCAGAGATGAGGCCCTGCTGTGCACACAGAACTCAGGCAGTGCACAAGGACTGCTGCAGCCTGCATCCACCACATTCAGTCTTTGCCAAAGGCAGAGGGGTGTCCTCCAGCCATGCTGACTTCACCCACCTCACCTGAGTTCAGTGGATGGCCCACCCGCAGGTGAACAGATCTGACTGACAGCGTACACCCACATAACTACAGCACAGAGACTGTTGCTCACCTTCACCTCCTCTTTTACTGTACCACGGTAATAAAATCCATCATGCTCCCCTCTCACCAGAACAGGGACATTTTTGGCTAAGATGGCTGATCTCTGTGACATGCTCAGCCTCTGCCATGCTGGGCCAAGAGAGGGGAAGCAGCGTCCAATCCACTGGCACCTTGAATAACAGAAAATTGGTCAGTGGTGAGAGAAATCAGATTTTGTAGGTCAAGCAAAAGTATATATGTATCCTCTAAGATGTAAGAACAAGGTTACTGCACCTCATTTTGTAGAACTCCCACTTTTTACCCAGTTCTCTTTGGTTTGGGATTAAGAGGAAGAAAGCTAAGAATATGCTGGAGACCTTGGCCAGGATCACTTGCATTAACACCTTTTCTGACTACATGGCAAGTTAATACAATCCTTAAGATCAGGCAAGAGAAAAAGATGCTCCAGCATAAAGCACAGCTTAGAGGTACTCAAGCACTGTAGCTGACAGTATAAGCTCAAAACAGGGAAATAATTCCCTGTCACATAGAATTAGAACCATTTCACAGATCACTGCTCATGCAAAATGCTTTTATTTATCCAAGTAACATTAAGGACTTCTTTTTTTGATAGCAAGTTTACCCCAGGCTTTGCTTTCCATAATCTCCAGGGTAGCAAATCATTTTAGTTAATGCAGTCCAAGAACTGCCAGCACAAGGGTGAGGAAAGCACAAATGATATTCAAGCTGCTAATGTATTAACCTGACACATCCCAGACTTTTTTATCCTATTAGATATCATGCAAAGGAACAAATCACAGATCCAACAAGAATTTAATTTTACCGCAGGGGAGCAAGGGTCTTGGTGTTCCAGGCAGAATGCATGGCAAAGGAGCTCCTACAGCAGGGGTGGATAGCAGGGATGGCACTGGAGCACAGGAACTTGTCCAGAGCTGGCATCATGCTGCAGCACCTGTGGTCCATGGGCAGGAATCTTTCCAAATGAGCCATTCTTGCAAAGGCAGCTTCCTGCAAGACTAAAACACGAGCTATCAGTAGTTGGAAAGAGACAACATGCTGGCATTTTTCAAGTCAAGCAAATGTTTTCCAGATTACCCTCAAGATCTCAGTAACTTTTACTAATTGCTCTCATGAAATAAAGACTGAATTCAAAGTATCCAGACTGGTGTTTTGTCATGTGAACCCATATCACTGACTTCAGTGACTTCCAGTGATTCAAATTTGTGGTTGGCAACCCTAGCCACAGCAAATGAGTTGGAAATGGATGATCTTTGAGGTCCCTTCCAATACAAACAAGTCTGTGAGTCTATAAATCTATATCTAGTAAAGGGACATAAACATCCAGGGAAACACTCTTGCTGTGGAAATCCTAAGGAAAGCAACGTTCTTAATTAGCTGCAGCTTTTGTTCCTCTCTGTAACACGCAGCTCTTCTCTTACACCTACACTCTCCTTTAGAACTTCCTTATACACAGAGACAGCTCAACCCTCCCCGCTCTACAAGCTAAAAGAGAAACTGCAGCTGAAGTTCATAGTTGAGCAGACAGCTTCTGACTGTAGTGCTAGAACAGAATTGCCTATGATATATTAAGAGGAAATATTTTGGTCTCCCACTGCCCTGTCATGTTTTGCAACAGTAGGACTATGGCTTGCCACCAGAAGAATGAGATGCTAAGATTTGATGAGCAGTAACTACTCAGAGGTTGTCACATTAGGATTCATGAGGTGATGCTCTCTGATAATCTTACATAAATATATTTTGTTTAGAAATATTCAGCATGCTGAGGGTAAAATTTGTGATAGAGTGAGCAATATATCAATCAAGTGCCTAATTTACCTTTATTTCATCTCATAAAAGATACAATTAGTGATTCTATCATCTACAAACGGTATGTAATTTCAAACACAACAAAGGCAAGTAAATAACTGCTGAAAAACGTGTCTTATAAAGAGCAAACCAACACATCAAACTCATACTACACAAGCTCCCCTATTACAAAAAGCTGTAATCCATTATGTTTTCTAAAGGAATGCAAATTCCAGTACGTGTTAAAGCCCGCTGTAAAGCTGCTCAGAGCTGTCCTGCCAAGAGCCAAGTATTGCATAGATGTACAAAGCAGGGCTCTGACAAAGGCAACTATGGAGCACTATGAGATTTCCTGAACAGTTCCACACATTTGGACCCAGAAGTATTTCAAACTTACCAGCTACTGATAACACTAAATCTTGACCGTTTGTATTTAGTCTTGAGATAGAAACCTTGTCCTTTTGCCCTGCTGGATGCAGGAAGCATTTGTTGCCAGCACTTTCTAGTTGCTAAGGAGGTCAGCAACATGGCTACCACTAGGAATTGACGTGCTGACCTGACCCCGCTGCAGAGACGACCCTTTGCCTGCCATGTACCAGCCCAATTGCTGCTGAATGCAGCTCTGGTCATCCAGCTATCGCACTGGGAGACCATGGGGGCAAAGAAAGGATTACAAAAGGGCAAAGCATCCTCCAGCCCTTCGCATAGTAACATAAGGTAAAAGAAATGTATCATCCTTCAAAGCTGCAGTTCAGATTTATGATCATAAAGCACCACCACAAATATATTGGTTCAAACAAGGAGAGCCAATGCTGGGAGGAACTGAGATCGAATCCCTTTGCAAACTTCTCTTTTCCATAATAAAGGGGAAGAATTTCTGAATTCTCCCCCTTTCCTCCAAAGCATGTACAAAACCAAAATCATAGAATGGCCTGGGTTGAAAAGGACCACAACGACCATTGAGTTTCAACCCCCCTGCTATGTGCAGGGTCACAAACCAGCAGACCAGGCTGCCCAGAGCCACATCCAGCCTGGCCTAGAATGCCTCCAGGGATGGGGCACCCACAGCCTTCTCGGGCAACCTGCTCCAAAATGTCAGAGAATCACATAGAAATCTTCCTGCTAATCTCTACTGCGCTCCCTATTCTTCATTTCCTCCTTCACAAATGTACACACCTCGATATGTGATATGTCTGTGCAGTGCAGGCAGGGAAATACTTAATTGCGTTTAGTAGGCATTTTTCAATTCACTACTATTAAAACATGAGAACAGAGGGATGGATGACTGTAATTAAGGACTGCCAGCTCTTACAAAGTCTGGAATTGTTTTCTCTACATTTTGCTGTAACCAGAGACAAACTGCTCTCATGTTGCCAGCCGAATTGCTGTTAAATGCCAATCCTGACACACAGCAAACGTTAAGAACATTTTGCTAATCACAAGATAAAACTCTCTTCACCATCTTGGCATAAATCTGTTCTACACTGATTAGCTGAAATCATCAGATAACACAGAGAAACAGACTAAGGGGAAGAGGGTCCCAGAAGAATTTCTTTCACAGGACACAATCCTTTCCAGGCCAGAATCTTGCCAACCCTCTTTGTATTGTGCAACCAGTCCTAATTTTTAAGTGCACAGAGAGATGGAAACAAATTTCCATAGAATTTGGATAGAAATTAGGCAGAATCAACAGTTTTAAAAGAATCAACATTTTTACTCATAGGAATAAAACTGCATTTGCAAGATGTCATGCTCTTCCTACGCCCAGTGACAGTGTTTCAGAGAACTGCTCCCCTTTTCCTTCCACTTTTAAACTAACTTATCCATTTTGTTGTCTTTGAATAACATTCCTGGGAACCTTTATAAAGATCTCCTCGCTTTCCAAGAGAAAAACTGGCAATAAGAACAAAAAAACTTCCGTGAAAGGGCACATGAGAGCAAACCAGTCACAGTACAGAACAATAAAGGAATTTTAGCCTCACCACTGGAAAGACTTTATTTTATTTCAAAGCACAAAGAATGTGATGGCACATAGAATTAATTCACACTTATAGGTATTGTATTTTTTGTTCGGTTACTATTTTAGATGTGCTTTCCAATTTCCATGAATTATCTGAGGCCACTCAGATGTGATTTTCCAGTCACGCTTCTGTAAGCACAGTTACTACCTGCAAAACTAAAATACTTTTCTGTGGGCTGGTATCGATGCGTACTATGATCTCCTAGATGTTTCAGGAAGGTGCACATCATAAACAACATAGCAGTGGCTACCAGGCTCCCATCCAGGACATCTTTCCCTTGATTTGGAACAGTTTAGATAGCCTTCAAAAATTGGCTTTGTTTGTTAATTGCTTTAGGTGCTTGGCTTGGCTCCATGACATTTTTGTCTGCTGCCATGGAATCACTGTACAGAACAGACTGTAGGTACCTGATGTATTTTATTGCTGCACGGAGAGTCTCTACTTTGCTGAGCCGTTTCTCTAAGTATTCCTTAGGTAGGTGATGTCTCAATTTAGCATAGCCTTCATTGACACATTTAACTCTCTGCCTTTCCCTCTCATTCCTCTTCCTGATGAAAGCCGGCCCATAGGAGTACTCACTCCTGTTGTAATTGCAGTGGGGTATTTGGTAGGAAAAGCCACAGGGCTCAGTGTAGAAGTTCTCTGTGATGAAATGCTCAGACATGAAAGGAAGGAATGACAGATCTTCAGAGCAAGCGACCTGGTTTGGTGTTTCTGGGTACATGTGAAACATGACCAGTGGGTCTGCACAGAAAGGCCGGGGCAGCTGTATGCACTGAGTGTCAGCAGTGATGGACAACTTGTCCATGAGATTACAGTAGCTTTTCCCATCCATCAGGTTCTGCATTTAACCTGGAAACGCATAATTACAAAACACTTTAAACAACTCATACTGGACAGGACAAAATATTCACCTGCGCATTTGCCAGGTGAGACTTCTAATGTATTTGCAACATTTCAGAACAACAGATGGCAGAAAACATCCTCTTTGGAAAAAAAAAAAAAAAAAAAAAAAAAAAAAGAGGATGTAAATTGGCTACAGTGATTTTAAAAAATGCACAACAGATCTGAAGAAAACTATTAACACTTTCTAAAGGAAAGAGCAAACATTCTCCTTTCATTTCCGCTTTAGAAATGAGAAAGATCTACCTTTATGAGCCCCACAGAAATCTAGCTTGCTCTAAACTTTCATCTTTACAGAAAACATAAAGCAGGCCAACACTGAAAGCACTCTCTCCAGCCCACTGACAATTCCAGTGACAGTCTCTACTTGTACCAAAAAATCTTCAAGGACAAATTATTTCTCTATTCATTTGATATCTCATTCACTGTACTGTTTTGACTCAATGCAAAACTTGTGCAGGGATCCCAGAAGGGATGTCAAATTTATGTCTGCAAAGTATTCAATTTATTCTTCATCTAAGTTTTAGGAAAGGCCTATAGGATGAATTAGGGCTGAACCCGACATCATCTTGGGTCCTGTTGTTTAATACACAGATGAGTGGAGAAACACAGAGATGAAATACTAAATTTCAATTTTAAATTATTTTACATAATAGCTACTTAAAAATGTATCTAAAGCATATTGTTATTTTTTAAAGAATTAAGATCCATCCTTACCAATTGCAAGCAGTACTTCCCAACAAAATCTATCCAAAAATGCTCCTTTAACGTCTTCCTCATCTATACTTGGCTTTCTAAAATACTTAGATTATACCCTCTACAAAAGAAAAAGCACACAACACAAACTAGGTTACCAGAAACATCTAGACTGCACTACTCACAACAATCTTGAAAAGTTTCAAATATACAGAGCACAGTTCCATAGCAAACTGGATTATCTTAATCCCTCACAAGGATAGAGATATTTTAATGTTTTCTAATCATTTCACACCTGCCACTTTCAACAGTAAGAGAATTTTCACTCAATAACCCAATCTAACATATTCCATCAACATACATCTGTATTCAGTGCTGTTTGTTATTTTCTTATCAAAATGGATCTCAGTACAGAAATCTTGGGAGTTCAGAGTTCCTTTATAGCATGTTGTTAGATAAGAGAGACAGTCACATGCATCTTAAATGGATCTTTGTATAGGCACACTGATGGCACACAGACACGTTCATTTTGAATTAATAGAGATACTGAAAGATTAGAAGTGAATATATACGTTCATAAAACAAAAGCAGTAGATAATCATCTTTCTCTTTTTTAACACAAGTTGTGTTATTCTAAAAATATTTTCAAGATGTCACAGTAGAAAATTGTCAGAACGAAATAAAGTCACTGAATAGCAAAAAGTGAATAGTAAAGTATCTACATACAGCAAGAAACCAAAAAACACAGCCCCCTGTGATACTTGCAGTGTTTGTTTTGCACCGACACTTCTGCTGGATAACAGCATTCCATACAACATTTGTCTGCTGCCTTACTGTCTGCACTGAGCACATGTTAGAATCCTCTTCCCATCAGAGCAGAGACTCACCAATCTTCAGAGCAAAGTGAAATCCAAGGAAACAAGACGCGCTAATTTTAAGACTGCTGAATAATACCTGAAAATATCTAAACGATATTGAAGAAAAAGTTAATGTTCCAGTTTCCTTGCATCTTATGTAATGTAGTAATTGATCACATTAAACACAACGAATTAAAAAGCTACAGAAGCATTGTTACTGACTGGCTGATAGAAGTGGTTTAGAGAAACATGGATATTCAGTGCAGACCTGTAGCTAGATACAGCAATACACCGTTCTCTTACCTGAATGCACTTTGTTCGACTGAGTCAATGACTCCTGCAATTTATAGCCAATTGACAACATGCAAAGTAGCTTACAGTTAGATCTGCTCATTTCTGGTTTGCCTTTTCCACCCACACCACAGCTATGATGGCAACAAGACTTGGCATTAAGGACTAGAAATTTTAAAACTGTATTGAACACAACTGGATCACCTGAAAAAGTAAATCAGGAACATACTTTGCTTATGCCCTGTTACAGTTTACTCAAGCAGTATTTTCCTTTACTGGAGCTTCATACACTAACATCTATTTAATTATCAGCTAGAACTTAGTTAAAATGAACACACATTTGAATAAGAGCACGGATGAAATTAATATTACATTTTATGGTCCTCTCACAAGATCTGCTTTGTTTCAAGTTCTTTTAAGTTCTATTCCACTTTGCTGTCTCAAAGCCTCAACACTACACTCAAATATCAGCCCTAATTCCCTTCCACCTAACCTCCTCCCATCTGGAGCAAAGTTCTGCATCTTCCTTCTACTCCAGCTTCAGACCCGATCAGAAATGCAGCCAAGATGTAGGGCACTATTAGAACTGATAGGTAGGCACAAATGCAACAAACAAGTTATTTTTCCTTAGGGCATCCTATGTACATCGCTGTCATAACCGATCATTGACTCATCAGGGTTAGATGCCAAACACAACTGTGTTTTTGTTTGTTTGCTTTTATCCTGTCAATACACCCTGTGCTGTTTTGTACTTAGAGGGAGAACCCTACATCTCCACTAATTAGGTGCCTGTTATAATTACACTCAGATTAATTGTGGTTTCGGAAGCCTACAGGACTGACAAGACAATGAAGACCTGCATCTGCCAAAAACATGTAGTCACTGCAAATGTTATGGGACAACTTATGTTTCCACTCAAGGTACTGAAGAGATAAGTATACAGGAACAGTTATTTTCCACACTATTTTGCTCCCACTCTGGCAATTATGAAAGCCAAACCTGTACCTGCCAATATACAATACTGTTCCATGGTACCATTTCCTTCAGCACTGGAAATGAAAATCATTCCAACATGGTAATATAACTAAACATGCCTAGCCAAATTTCAGGGATTAAAACCTTCCTTCAATCAGCAATTTGTTGTGCCATTCTTTCCCTTATCTAAGCACTAAACAACTGCATATTTCCATTCAGAAGCATTTTCAGTTAACTTTTTATAAATGCAATTTGCACGCAAGTGTAATGAGGGAGAAAATGATGACATCTAGATAATGTGCATCTGTTTTTCAAAAATCAGTTTTAATTGTTACATTCCAAAGAGAATATATGAAAGTTAGTCATCTAGCAACTGTATACCTCTTAAGAGAGATGAACACAGAATCACAGATAGAAAAATACACCTAACTCCCAGGATGACAGGTGCTCAAGAAATTATGTGCCTTCTACCATCAATCCAAACAAATGCAGAAAGATTTCTTATAATAAATATTTCATCATATACTAACTCCTGAGACTTTACCCATGAGAAGAAAGGAAGATCTCTTTTAAAAGATATCATACACATACAATATATTAAGCTTTAAAGCAAAATAGAACGAAATGTCAACACTGCCTTGAAGTGCATTTGAGTTTATCTACATCACAGTAGTTCAAGTGTGCAGCTCAAAGAGTCAGTGTCCATTTAAGTTCAGCCTTATTTCTGAGACCACCTGACATACAAGCACTTTGAAAATACAAGTGCAAGCAACCAAATGATGAATACAGCCAATCAAAATTCTGCTCTCTGACATGACATCTGCACTGCAAGATTTCAATTTCCAATGTGACATCAGCCTGAAGAAAAATCCAAATATATTTACAAAAGGTCTTTACATAAAGAGAGTGGTGAGTTGTAAGTAGTTACTATGTTCCCAGGTACTTTTAACCACATAAATAATAAAGAGAAATATATAGTTAAAAATCACCGTTAAGTCACAACTATAAATAAAGTATCACAGTAGCAAACAAAGCAAGCTATCTCAGGGTTTGTTTTCTTTTCAGTTTTATTAGTAAGAGACAACTGAAAATGTAAAGATTTCTAGCTTTTGGTTAACTAATTTCTTTTATCTGCTTCCTGCTCAGTACATTCTTTCAAATTTTAAATACTTCATATATATATGTTTGGTGGTTTGTTTTTTTTTTTTTTCAAATCAGAAAAGAACAATTGCAGAAAACCCTTTTGAAGCGATAGGTTCAGGGAGACAGAAGTCAGTTTTTTCGGTTTGCCTGCTTTACTTCTTGGAGTTGCTGCTGAGAGAATTAACTCAGCACAACGTGACGGTCGAAAACAGACTTGCGTTGCTCTTGGACCTGCAACTTCCAGCGCTGCTGGGCATACTCCACTTTGTTCAGCACGTTGGCACGGCTCCGAGATCGAGCTAGCACGTCATGAGCATTTGCAAATGGCTGGTGATCCTGGAACAGCAAAGATCCAAAGAACACACTCAATAATTCCATCGAGCAATTGAATTAACTGTTTTATTTTGTTGGTGATTTTAAGGTGAAATGAGCTATTTTAGCCAATTAGTCAGTCATAACGACAAAGCAAGTTTTCAGATAGTTAAAACGATACTTTTCATCCCAAGTAACTGCCAAATATTTCCCAAATAGACCCAATTGTATCACTGCAATTTCATAGAACAGCTTAGGTTGGAAGGGACCTTAGAGATCACTGAGCTCCAACTCTCTAACACAGCCAGGGTCGCCAATCACTGGATCAGGTTGCCCAGGGCCCCGTCCAACCCAGCCTTGAAAGTCTCCAGAGACGGGACATCCAAGCCTCCATGGACAACTTGTTCCAGTGCCTCACTACCCAAACGAGACTTGCATCCATTAGTAGCTGCTGGAATCAAATCTAAGACAGACTACGATGCCAGGACCCTCCTGTTATTGTCATGAATGTACTTTGTTTAATGTCACTTAAAGAGTGAATTAGTCAGTTTTTTGCCAGCTCTCAGCCTGTTACTGTATGGCAGTTCAGGATGTTCATATAAAGATTGTATGTAAAACCAACACACTCCACTGTTTACCAAACCAAACCTATTGTACCAAGCTGTCTGAAAGTAAAGTGTAAATACAGCTGTTTAGGTGACAGAGCTCAACAATAACTGAGAGCTTATTTAATATTTACTCTGCCTGTTTTCCATCAATACCCGCAAAGCTTTGTTTTCTTCTAATAAATAAAAGCAGGTTATAAACAGTAAGGGTTGGAATTGAACTTCTTCTTTGGCTGTCAAATTGTTTTGGACAAAGTCACGTTCCTAAAGTTACATCAGAAAGCACCGTGTGTAAACTTCATAATAAAAAAATAACATAACTACATCCCATATTAAATAGTTATTTGCCCTTTTATATGTATACACCTCACAGTACTTGTGTTGTTGCTGTTGTTCCTGAATGCTTTTAAAAGACATTGATATGTATCTGTGACATAATTCTGTACAGAATAGCTCAGTGATGATTCTTAACAGGAGAATGATTCACATTAAAGATCTCAGGGGATGTCTACAATGGCACATATGGGCATCACTGAGCTAAGAAATATGCTAAAATCAAGACAGTCCCAGACTAAACGGCTATGAACTTATATAAAAGATTATGCAGTTGGACTTATCTAGAACAGTAAGTTCAAAGATCACAAATCACTTCATTTGTACAGAAGCAAAATCACAATAGCAGTATGTTTCCTCCATAAAATAAATGGAGAAAGGGATAGCATCAAAGATAAGTTGGATGGTACTGGCAAGCTAGCTACCCTCAATTTCAGTGGGAAAGGAAAGGCGGAGGAAAGGCAGAGGAAAAAGCAAGCACACTGTAGCAACTAACAGAAGCAATCCTCATCTTAATACTTTCTAGACAAGTGAAAAATGAAAGCATGGCTTCACAGAATCATCACGTGGTTTTCTGACTACAGCGAAGATCATCCTCTCCCTTCAGGAAAAGAATTTAAATTACCTTGCAAAAAAATCTTCCCAAATAATCACTTAAGAATTAACCCACGCATACAAGTGGTTGGATGAACTCACCCCTATGTCTTCATCACTCTGTATGAGCTGTGAATGTCCAAAGAGACGTCTCTTCAGAATGGGTTCCACTAGTGTAAGGTACACCATGTACAGAAGAAGTAGCCCCAAAATAGACAGGTATATGATGATTGTAACCTGCACAACACAAACATTATTTATCCCAGAGTTATGACATTACCTCAGCCACCTCTCACCAGGCAGTGATGAACAAAAGAACTGTACAGTCAAAGTTTTTGATGAGCCTGACACAGTAGCGTCACTATGACTTGAAATTCATGAACAGCAAAAAGCCATCACCTATTAAATTGGTATTACAAGGTTTAAGGGCAGACAGATAAATTAGCTTGAAACAAAGTCTCTCTTAGTGAGGCCTTGCTGAAGTCCTATGCTATCCTTCTTGAAACAACCTGGTGTTCTCTCACCTTAATCAAGACTACTAATCCACAGCAATTAAACTGGTCACAAATTTTGGGGTTCCTGTATGGTCTCCATTCTCTAGCATAGATCCACATTCAGTCACAGAGCTCACAATGAAACAGGAGAAGGGGAAAAACGCAAAATCCCGAAAAGCCTCCTAAAAAAGGAATCAGTATAATAGAAGAAAACATGCACTATATAATCTATTCACTCCAGGGGCTCAATGGTGGTTACAGGATAAGTATGAAGAATCATCAGATAAAGCAAACAGGATCAATTTTGCTCTTCTTAGATTGGCAAGATAGAAAGTAAATTTACATCAAGAGAGCAAGAGTGAATAATGGGAGAACACTGAGAAAAATACGAAGTTCAAAGCTTGACAAAATACCACAGCACACTCAAAATCCCAGCCAAGTATAAAGCTTAATCTCAAAACAGGAGAACTTAAACTTCTTAAGCTCACCCCTTCAGTTATAACATGATTCTACTATTACTATTCAAGAAAAGTTATGAACAACTAACAAAAAAAAAATAATAATCTTAAGACTGCTTTAGAAGAGCTCTCCCTTTAAAAAGAGTATTTCTCTAAAAAGTTACATTTACTATTCAGTTGAGGAATTTAATATATAACAACAGAATTCCATGGTTTACCTTAATTGTGACGGAGCTTCTCTCTTCATATTTGCACTCACAACGTAAACAATATGCTTCTACATCAGGTCCAGGGACAGGCATGGGCTCAACCACATGAAGACAATCACTGAAGAAAGACAGGACCAGTTCAAACGGTGCAGCTGGTTTTAGACATCTCTAACTCAATTCTAGCTATTACATATCTTTTCCTCCTAATACTTAAAGAGCTTTATTCTGTTTTTTTTCCTGTATCTGAAGGAAGATTAACCTCTCTTTGGTGTTTGTGAACAATAGCTCGTTTTTTCTTACCATCACATGTTTATAGGCATAAGGAAAAAAAGCAGACATTGGATGAGTCGTTTATTAAAGCAACAAGATTATGAATAAACAGCATTCACTTCAAAGCACTGGAACAAGAAAGGAAAACATACTTCAACTTGAAAGTACTTGAAAGTTCTTGCTCAGTACAAGAAAGACATAGAGATCTTGGAAAGGGTCCAGAGGAGGGCGACTAAGATGATCAGGGGGTTGGAGCACCTCCCCTATGAGGACAGGCTGAGGGAGTTGGGCTTGTTCAGCCTGGAGAAGAGAAGGCTGCGGGGTGACCTCATTGCAGCCTATCAATACCTGAAGGGAACCTACACCCAGGAGGGGAGTAAACTCTTCAGAAGGGCTGACAACAGCAGGACTAGGGGAAATGGATCCAAGTTGAGGGAGGGAAGATTTAGGTTGGATGTTAGGGGGAAGTTCTTTACAAGGAGAGTGGTTAGGCCCTGGAACGGGCTGCCCAGGGAGGTTGTGGATGCCCCGTCTTTGGACGGGGTCCTGGGCAACCTGATCTGAATGTGTACGTTTGGTGGCCCTGCTAGGCAGGAGGGTTGGAACTACATGATCCTTGAGGTCCCTTCCAACCCTGGTGATTCTGTGAAAGATCACAAACTCTTAGATGGTTCCCATACCAACAAATGTAGTTGACAATGCTATGAACACTCTACAGCACAGTACTAAAATCCAGCTGCCATGATATAACAACTTGCACCACTACT